TTAAAATGAATAAACAAGTGTTATAGATCACACAAAGGCATAAAAAGACTTTTGCCAATATTCTTAAATATTAAGCTTGAGAACTTAAATATCGGTTAAATAATGCATTATATATCTTTGAACAAGATGCAGACGTGAAAACTTTAGATTCCATATCTAAATTTGAAGTCAGCCATTATACTTGAATGGGCTATCTGCTATGTGATGGTTGATGAAAGCAAATCAAATCAAGTTCTGGATTTTTATTAGTGATAGTTTGTATTTGCAAATCCTAGTTGACACACACACACACACACACACACAAAACACACACATACACACTCACAAAAACACACACACACATCCAAGACTATCCGAGTGCTAGGATGTTTCTTGGAAAATATAGAAGATTACACAAACACACACACACACACACACATATATATATATATATATATATATATATATAGAATATATATTATATATATATATATATATTATAATATATATCTATATATATATTTATATTATTGTATACTTATACACAAATTTGTTGACAGTTTCAAAAAGTATTCGTTTGTAGTAAACCAAAAGTTGTCGTTCCTCGTTTATTTTAAATTTAATCGTTCGTTGTTCGTCATTCTGAAAAAAAATAAGGAGCATTTTTTTAAATTAAGAAAGTATATTTATATATACAGGAACGGAGTGGAAAGAATTTATCCACCGGGACAATATGCCTCGCCGGCCTTATACAGGCCCCAATATGCCTTTGGTAGGCTGTCAACGGCCGTTATGTTTCTTGAGGCCAGCGTCCGACCGGAATAGTCCCGGTACTTCCCGCTGGCCACTCCGCCCCTGTATATATATATCTATAATGTTTATTTATGCAACTTGTATTTTTTTTGGCCTTTATTGGTTCGATAGAATTGCATCCGACAAGATAACAATAAGCATTAAAATTAGTCACTCGAACCTAGGATCTTATCATCAATGAGGTAGACCAAAAATGACCATCCCCTCTCGGAGTATTCGAACCTGCGCTCCCAACATTGAAGTTGATCACGCCTTATCATGCACGGCTATCACACCCCTCAACTTGTATTCACTATGTTCAATTTAAAATAATTTTTTCCTCTCAAATCAGAACTCTCGTTTTTAAAAGCTTAAGAAAAGTGAAACATCTCTTCTTTTCATTTTCTTTTTTGTTGTTGTCGTTGCCCAATTACCTGCAAAGGACAAATTCTTTTTTTATTCCATCTTTCCAACGCCCAAAAAATGAAGTATTTTGTCCTTTTGAACTTTCTGGCTTTACATATCCATGAACAACAACAACAGAACACTTCTCTCCGCCCAAGATCCATGTCCTGACCTTTAAAACAATGACTTCCTAATCAATTTCCCTATGATTGTCACTACCAATTAACGCGTTATGATTAGTCTATTCTTTCAACAACAACAAAAAATGGTTGACTCCCAAGGCAAGAATGCTGTCATTGTTAAGTTTTCTTAAGAATTTTTTCTTAAATCAATACTTTCAAACATATAGATAGCTTTATATATGTATTTTTTCCAAGACAAAAACATCCCCATATTTAAAATACGTATATTATTTTATATATCGAGTATCATAGTATTCCAGACTTTAAAACTTCTTCACGTTTCCGTATATTTGTTATATATATACCCAGGTCCCGGCTGTTTTTTTTGGAACGGCCCGGCCCTGTGTCTAAAATCACCGGGCCGGGACTTTAATATTTGCTCGTCATTCGTGACAACGTTTTTTTTTTTCAGGTTTTTTTTTTTGTATTAAAAAAATATTCAAAATATATGAAAAACGTTATCACTTTTTTAAAAAATTATTTTTTATAATTTAAAAAAATCTTTTTCTAAAAAACTAATATATATTCCCGTCGACCGGCGGTCCCGGTGAAAAAGCGTCCCGAACGTTTCCTGATATATATCAAGAAACGTTCGGGGCACCTTTTTCGCCGGCACCCGTTTTTTTAGAAAATAATATTTCGAAAATTCCTTTCTAAAAAACTTTATGAATGACGAACGAAAGAAAATATAT